TAAAGACATCACAGTTAACTTGTTCACAACATGACATGGTGGTAAAACACGGAGCAGTAAATTATAACAGTTAACTTGTTCACAACATGACATGGTGGTAAAACACGGAGCAGTAAAGACATCACAGTTAACTTGTTCACAACATGACATAGTGTTAATTAGAATATTTGTTGTTAAGGATGGAAGACAAGTCAAGGTTGTGAACTTTTTTGTATCAATATCTTTAGGTCTGTTATTCCGTTAATTTCCTACTGACATTTTTAATTGTTTCAGTGAATTAAATGGTTTTCCCATATAGTTTGTCTCATGCCAACTCGTGTGATTTTAGATGAGCTTTGTGTGCTATACAGTGAAGCTATAGTCGCTATTCAACGAATGAATGAAAGATCTCAAATCAACCATTGTTTTCACCAAATCTTTACTAGCATCTAATTAATCTACATCTGGTAAAATGTGAATTTCTTCCACGGTTTGAAAGAAAGCTGCCTTAATAATACTGTAGAAATGAAAGCTGCCTTAATAATACTACAGAAAATAAAGCTGCCTTAATAATACTGTAGAAAAGAAAGATGCCTTAATAATACTACAGAAAACGATAATATTATATTTTAACGTCTAGATACGGCCACTGGAAAGGACAATAACCTCACACACATACAAAATACTTTATGATATGACGTCAGCAAATTAATTGTCCTCAAAGCCTTATTCATCAAATAACTTCCGATTAGGACTAGAGAATTGACTGTCGCTTTCCCGAAGAAAGATTTGATCAGTTTGGATTAAAGTCTTCCCTGTTTCTTCCATAATACAATGCACCATTGTTTCTGTTCTGCGTAAAACAACGCACTGTTGTTACCTTAATATTCTTCTCATTGCTCTGTATTGAGGCTGAAGTGCATACAGAGGTTTTTACCGAATGACCGTGAAATATTGAAATCAAATACTTCGTGCATCCCCATGTAAATAACCTTGTTATATATATTTCCAGGACGCTCAGGTTAAAAACAAAAATAACAACCCTATGTCTCTCCTCACCTATAGAAGTCCCGCGCTCAGCTACCTAGAACAAGAATTGTTGGAATTTACGTAATATAAAGTTTGGTTGTTGTCATTTGTTCACTGCAGAGAATCGAAACCCGGGTTTCGACGTATACTTACCACTGGCCCCACAGGAAGACAATAAACTGTGTTACTCAGGTGCTAGAGGTGGAGGTTCATGATTTCCCCAACTTGTTCCAGCAGTTTGTTTTGTTTTTGAATTT